CTTCTTCTTCTTCTTCTTCTTCTTCTTCTTCTTCTTCTTCTTCTTCTTCTCCTCTCCTTCTTCTCCTTCTCTCCTTCTTCTCCAAATGTAACATTAAATTCATTATAATTCATGTTTTTAGATATAAATCTGTGTAGTCTAATTCATTTTTCTCTAATATATTGTGTTGAAAAACATAGTGTACACACACACACACACGCAAACATAGCAGTGATTTTCCCCCTATATATTTTAGGTTTTTCTTTATTTCTTAGAAATAAAGTATCTCTTGTCTCCTTTTCTCCATCTCATTTCCTATATTTATAGTATCCAGCCTCAGAAACAGGAGAAAATGTGATTGAGAGAAAGAAAAAGTTTTAATTTCTGTTTGAATAGCTAAATGCATGCATTAGTTCCTTCTGAGGGTATGGATGAATCCACACCTAGGTATTGGTTTATTTATTTACTGAACTGAGTATCTTGCTAGGTAACCCCTTTAACAGTAATTTTTCCTATGTTTGTGAATACATGATGATTGCACAAAGGAAATTTACCGTGATATTTCCAGACGGGCTACCCTCCCTTTCATGAAATTCCCCCTTTCAGACGTGGGCCTTCTGTTATCTGAGTCTGCCTACAACCTCAGCCTCCATATCAAGCACCTAATTAAAGGTTCTCTTTCAAATAAATACAGCATGCTTGCAAAGAGGAATTCTGGTGGATGTAATTTTCTCCATTCCATCCATCTTAGTTGTAATAATTAAGACTGAAGTTTCGAATTTCATCTAGCGTGTTTACAGGTATGGTTAACTTTCAATGAAACTAGCCTAAAATTGTTCCAACTGGGAAGTAATTCTTATGTTCCAAATAGGGCTGGGGGTTGAAGAAAGAATTATTGTCTTAGTTTAGGGTCCCTGTGGGGCCCCACGTGGACTGGCAGGAAGTTGGATTGCTTGAATGAACAAGAATGCCCAAGTGTGTCCCTCCTCCTTCCCTTGGGCCCCCCTCCACCCCCTCAGTTCCAGCCTGCCTCATGGTTTCCTCTAGTTGTTTAAAAACACCCTGGTCTATTCTACACTCATCTTTCTGGGTGTCATTGCTTATTCATTTCTTGCTTCAGGAACTCTCAGGTCATTTATTAAGGCTTTGCCTAGTGCTACATTCTTGGAGAGTATCTTCTGATTCGATACATATACATTAGTTAAGATTTTAACCGTAACTCACCATGCAGGTTTTCCTGTTGTCCTTTGAATCATTCACTAGAGCCTGGTCCTGGGGTTATTTGTTGAATGTTGACCATCAGTAGACTCTTAGCTCCTGGGGCAGGGGTTGCTGACAGGCTGACAGCTGCCTCCCTGTACCTGGCTGGTTGGCATGGTGCACAGGAGCTCTCAGAAGAGAGTCTCCGAATCAGTGAATCAGCTAGCCATCGGGAAATCTAAAAGCGTTAAGTAGTGTGCTTTGACTTCCAAGCCGAAAGGCTGGCTCCTAGGTGAGGAAGTGTCAGATAATCATTTTCTTCTTGTTTGATGTAGTGCCTCTCCCCAAATCACTGGATCTCTGCTACGAACACAGTGACAAGTACTAATGGCCTCAACTTATCTCCTCAGGTACTACAGCACTGCGGATCAGGCGAAAATATTGCCCTTACAACTGTGGGAGAGTGTATCCTCACCAGGTTTTATCATTAGGACCTTGACAGCTGGAGGTGACAATGAAATGACTGCTGTGAACTAATGAATTTCAAAAGATGATTTTTTTTCTAATCTGATGGTTTTTAAAACCCATTTTTAGGCTCTAAAGGGGAAGCAGGTAATACGGGGATCGCAGGACCACCAGGAATCGGTGGGCCCCAAGGCTCAAAAGGCCAGAAAGGAGAGAAGGGTAGGTAATTCATCTCATGTCCATGCTTAAGGGATTTCTACACTATCAGTGTGTGTGTGTGTGTGTGTGTGTGCACATGTACCAGTCTTGGGGCTTGAATTCAGGGCTTGGGCGCTGTCTCTCAGCTTTTTAGCTCAGGGGTTACTCTTTACCACCTGAGCTGCAGCTCTACTTCTGGCTTTAAAAAATAATTTTGTGATTAATTGGAGATAAGAGTCTCATGGACTTTCATGCCCTGGCTGGCTTTGACCCTTGATCTTCAGATCTTAGCCTCCTCAGTAACTAGGATTACAGGCATGAGCTACTAGTGCCTGGTATATATAATCATTTTTAAGGAGAGTGATTTGCTAAGTAAATACCTAGATTCTCAAAAATAAGTCCATCTTTAAAAACTAGAAAGAATTGACCAAAGCATATTAGGAGTTGATTTCATATAAATGATTAACTTTATAAGTGCCAATTGGGAAAATTAAACAGCGATGGGCCCCTCTCCCTCCCTCCCTCCCTCCCTCCCTCTCTCTCTCTCACACACACACACATACACAAGTTAATCATATTATACCTTGGAAAAATTGATTCCCAGGAAGGCTGTATGCAGTCACATTCATGTACAAGTTAAATATTTTTCTTTCTTTTTTTTTTTTGGGTCCAGTCATGGGGCCTGAACTCTGGGCCTGGGCACTGTCCCTCAGCTCTTCAGCTCAAGGCTAGCACTCTACCACTTGAGCCACAGTGCCACTTCCAGCTTTTTTCTTTTTTCTTATGTGGTGCTGAGGAATTGAACCCAGGGCCTCATGCATGCAAGGCAAGCACTCTACCACTGAGCCACCTTCCCAGCCCAAGTTAAATATTTTTCATACTTCAATTTATTCTGTGATTAAAAAGTAACGATAATACTGCCAGCCTGTCAGGTGTGAGTGACTCGTGCCTGTAATCTTAACTACTCAGGAGACTGAGATCTTAGAACTGAGGTTCAAAGCCAGCCTGCGCAGGAAGATTTATGGACTCTTACGTCCAATTACTCACCCAAAAGCCAGAAGTGGAGCTGTGTCTCAAGTGGCAGGGATCTAGCTTTGAGCAAAAAAGTCCGGGGACAGTGCCTAGGCCCTGAGTGCAAACCCCAGGACCAGCACAACAAATCAAAACAAAAATATAAAGAACAAACATTTGGAAGGGGAGGGGGTGATAAAAGTTGCTAAATTCAAATGTTCCAATTGATGAAATACGCTGTTATATGAGCTTCCTTGCTATCTAACTGTTGGTATTAACATCAAGTGCAAATTTTATTAAATACCAACTACACTAAAAATGTTAAGATATTGGGAAAATACCGTGTGCACAGTAAATTCTAAATACAATGAGCTATTGTTATTATTGCTACTGCCACTGACAATTAAGTCTGCAACAGGACAGCTGCTTTGTCACAGGATTAGCTTTTAGTCAAGCTCGATTTAAGAATCCATTTAATGGAAATATAGCAAATAAGTGAAATTCCAGTGCTTTCATTGTTTTTCAAATACAATTTCTCACAGTGCTATAATTCGTCCGAGCAGAGTACGAAAAAAATGTTCCAACATGTAATGCAAATTGACTTTCCTTTGATGCTCTTATGCCAAGGAAATTTTTCCATTCCTAGATGAGTTTTAATGACTAGTTTCAGCCAATTGGGATTTTATCTCAATTGTAGAATGTTATATTCGGTGTTTAAATTTGTATCGTGTATGGCATTATTTTTCGGGCACGTGGGGCATATGAAAAAAAAGGAAGACATTGCAACTACCATCGAAATTCGTAATAGTAAAAACATAAGTGCTCACACACCCAGCATACGAGGTGCTGTGAACTCTGTGAGTGCTGTGAGTAGCCACAGGCAGAGACAGAAGGATTGGCATTCTTTCCAAATCTCCTTGAAATGGTTTACCATGAGTAAGAATGAAATACTCTTGACTCTCTATGAATCCATTTTGCGCACTATTTTCTTTCCTTTTTAATTTTTTTTATTGTAAAGGTACTGTACAGAGGCACAGTATTTTCTTTTTTGAAATAACTTGGGTAAAAGAAACACCGGAATGTGCCATGGATGTGGGAAGGGTTAGCTATGTCCTAACGGAGACAAGCGGTAAAAACATGGATCTCGCTACCATTTTAGGACTAAAAGGAGAACGTGGGGACCCAGGAGCAAGCGGAGTTCCAGGATACCCAGGAAAGCCTGGGGAACAAGGTAACACACCGAACACATGCACTGTGCGCGGTGGCGCTGCGGCAAATCTTTCTATCCTCTTCCTGCTTGCACGGTGAGATGGAGAGAGAAAGCCCCACGATTCCTTAAGTAGCTAGTGGACAACACAAGTGGGTCTAGTTGTTCAGAGATCAGGCAACGATTCTTCTTTGACCCAGATGTTCAGGCGACAAGGCCTGAATATTTCCACTCTTCAACTTCGGTACCCATAGGGCTTTGAATTTGCGCAGACCATAGTCCTCATAACCCTGGGTGGATGGATGGATTGGCGGCACTGGGGGTTGGATGTAGAGGACCCAAGTTCACCAGGCTGGCTCTCTACACCCCCAGCCTTCTAATATTCTTCATCATCTTAAAATTTAACAAAAAGAGGAGCACTGAATAGATGGGTTCTGAATACGAGATCTTGTTTTCGTGGAAGCATCAACTTTACCCCTTTTGAGATGATGACAGGTTATCAATTGCTAATTGCGTTTAATGGCAGGGTGTCTGGGTCCTAGTTAGTAGTTTCTGTATCATCATCATCATCATCATAATGATCATCATCATCATCGTCAGTATCATTGCTATTGGTAGTACTGGGTTTTGGACTCAGGGTTTTGGGCTTTTTAGGAATGTACTTCGCAGCTGATCCATGCCCCCCCTCGCCCCTTTTGGTGCGGGTCACTGAGGCTCCATTTATGGAGCTGGGGTCAGGGTCGCAGGCCGGGCCGTGAGCTGGCGGCGGCGGCTGCCTGGTCCACAGTGTGCAGCGCCCTGAGCCCTGGTTTTCTCCTTCCCGGCAGGTGCACCCGGCCCCCGAGGAGAGAAGGGCAGCGCGGGGCCGGCCGGAGAGAGAGGACAGCCGGGCATCCCGGGGGCCGCGCGTGGGGACGGCACCAAGGGCGACCCGGGGCCCCCGGGCGCGGGTGGCGCCCCCGGGCAGAGCGGGGGGCCGGGACAGCAGGGCGAGCCGGGGACCCGAGGAGAGAAGGGGAGCAAAGGAGACGCGGGACTCCCAGGCCAAAGAGGCCCAGCCGGCCGGCCCGGGGCTGCGGGTCCAACGGGCGCCAAGGGCGACCGAGGCGAGCTGGGCTCCCCGGGCGCCAGGGGACCCGCGGGGCCCAAGGGTGAGCCTGGGATCAAAGGGGTCCGGGGCCCCCCCGGGAAGAAGGGGGCGCGGGGCTTCAAGGGCTCCATGGGCGAGCGGACCCCCGCGCCCCGGTCTGCGTTCAGCGCGGTTTTATCCAAGCCGTTCCCTCCCGCCAACGTCCCCATCAGATTCGACGGGGTCCTCCACAACGATCCCGGGGACTACAGTCCGGCCACCGGCAGGTTCAACTGCAGCGTGCCTGGGGTCTACGTCTTCTCCTACCCCGTGGCCGTGCGCGGCCGGCCTGCCTGCGTCCGCCTGGTGGCCCGCAGGGCCGGGCCGGCCGCGTCCAGACCGGCAGCCCAGGGCCAGGGCCTCCAGCGGGCCTCGCTCCTCACGCTGCTGAGCCTGGGCGCCGGGGACCAGGTGTGGCTGGAAGGGACCGGTGTCCACTGCAGCGCGGACGACAACAGCGTCTTCACCGGCTTCCTGCTGTACCCGCGCGGGGCTCCAGGAATGGCGCCCTGACCTGGGCAAGTGCACCGCGCCCTGAGCGCAGGGAAAAGGCTGGGCGACCCGGACTGAGCACAGGGCTTGGGTCGCTTGGCTCCGGTGGAAACAGCTGCCTTTGGAAATAGTTAGATGCACTCGGGAATGAGGCCTGCTAGTCTAGCTGGTGATGTTCGTGTATTGTCCTCTCGTCATGGCTGATGCCATTGAAGAGATTAGGAATAATCACAGGGAAAAATAGGAGTGGGATTTAATAGAATAAATATATTCTTCTAATTATCTCTCTCTCTCATCTCATCTACCTGTGTGTCACTCCTTCCTGTGTGTATCACTCCTGTGTGTGTGTGACACACACACACACGAGTATCACTCCTACCTACAGGAATTCCAAGCCACTGGATGAAAAACTATGCTTCGAGGTGTTTCTTAAAAGTCCCTGCTCCTCTAAGAAGGGTTGCATCTCAATAGGATGGAACTATTTTTCCATGTTAGCCAAACTCAGGGCAAATACACATGCGGAAAGGGTGGCAAAGACCAACTCGTGAATCTTCAAAACTTAGGCACATGCCAAGCTTTCCTCATAAAACCTGGGCTTCGTGGAGTAGAGGATTGGGCAAACTGTGAACAGAAAGTTGATAAAGATATTGCTCAGTCGTCCCAAAGATACACAACTATGCGTCGCGTTATTGTTGTTGGAAGAACGGAGTGTTCCTGAAAGATTCAAGAATAAAATTAAATCGTTATTGATCTAAATTCCAGCCCTTTCTTCACGAGAGAACATTTAATTAGGATAAATTCATTGGCACCATTATCATCATCTCTGGGATAATTAATTCTAGTTATTCTGTGATAACATTGCCGGAAAAGGTGGGGGCCTGGGAATTCATTGGCAATCTGAATGTTTAATAACCACGACTATTGGATAATACAGTGGCTTCACTTTTTTTTTTAACGAAGGCAAAAAAAAACCCTCTTGTTTCCATTTCCTGGAGTTCATTTAGATAGATATTATTTTATATGATCAGAGACACATAGGCATTATTATGCCTTTGTGTTCTTCCCCTAAGAATGTCTCCTTTACTTTCATGACTCCCTTCTTTTTCTTTTTCTAAAGTGAATCCAAATTGAATTCTGTTTTATGAAGGTATATTTATGCAGATGTGAAAAATCTTGCTGTGTCAAGCCAGGGAGTGGTGTTGGGGGACTCTTCTGTTGGTATTCTGCCAGCTTTGACAAGCATCCACGTTCGAGGTTCTCATCCACATGTATATCAGAAGAGAGCACCCACAAAGGTGCTCACAAGAATGCAATTTCTAGTTGTGGTCATTATGAATTGCTATGAGAAGTGTAGGCTCCACATAAAACGAACGCCAGGATTGCCATAGTTGACACCTACTGCTCGATGATTCATCAAACACCCTGGTGTTGTCTCTGTCCATTCAAATGTCATTTCATTTTGTTTTATTCAGTAATTCCCAGCATAGAATTCATCAAGTAGCAATCTACAGCATACAAATGCATTTTCTGTAATAGGATGTGAAGTCTGCAAATGGATGAATGTTGGCTGAGTGGAGGTAAAGTTCACTGGTGACATTTTCCCCTGTCTTGGGTGCTTCTTTCTGATTGAGATCATTAATATTGGTTTAGTCATGGCTCTGCTTGTGTTTATCAGAGGAAGAAGACGTTAATATACAAGAGGTTAAAAGAGTGGTGCTTGCATTTGAATTTTCTTTTTGAATTTGAAGTTTATATTAATGCAAGCATTCTGGATCTTAGAGTTTTATCCCTTGTTTGTATGTTCCCATGGTTTTTCCCATGTTTATGTCATCTCTACCAATGGGATGGTACAGAATTGGAAAGAATGATTGCAGGAAAGCATTCACCATAAAGGCAATCGATCAGAGAACCGACAAGGGAGCAACACATGGCATGTAGATTTTAGTTCAGGGTTAGTAGCCAGGATTGATAATTATAAACTTCTACCACTGCTCCACCTCTCCCCCGCCCGGGGTTTACCCCTACTTTGGGGAAAATTTATACAGCTGAGTTAGCAAGAAGTCTTGGCCATGAACCTGGAATTTTATGTATCATGTTTAAAGATTGGAGTGGAAGGTTAGATAATTCTCATGGGGTCGCCATTTTGGTATCACTGAAGACAATGCTTTACAACCTAGACCCATCATGGATTTTTTTTTCTGTCTAAACGTACATAAATGTAATTTTGAGTGATGTGAATTAATGATGGATAATATCTTTTAGTTATTAAGTGTCCATTTTTTAAATGCCGCCCAGTTGATGGGTATTTCAAGAAAGATGAAGAAGGGCAAGAAAAGATTCAAGAAGATGAGTTCCCAGCCGCAGTGAGGTACAGTGCTTTGTTATCTGTGGCAGTCATGCTTTTTAGAGGAAAGGATTGATGTTGTATTCTTCTTAATTAAATATCCTCCAAAGCAGCGGCCGTACCTACAGCTACAGAAGCCAAACCGCCGCTCTTGATGACATTTAAAGAAGGTCAACTTTTGTTTGATGCACTTTAAAAGGCAAGAATATGTTCCCAGGACATCTGAAAAGTGCATGCGACGGAGCATGCATCGAACCCTGCATATTAGGCTGTGAAATAATTGAGTCCTGATTTCTTAAATCCAAGTTTTACAGTACTTTATATCAATACAGCCAAAGACATTTAAATATGTCCTTGTATTATGGAGAACCCTCTCAAGCATAAGGGCAGAGGTCACCCTCTCCCCCACGTCTAAGGGAAGTTAAACTTATTTCTTCTCTGGACTCTTTTCAATCAAACAAATCCTGTTAAATAGAAGTTGGCTCATCTCACTTGTTTGCTGAAAGCCTCTTGGAAGCCTGCATCTCATTTGGAGAGAAACCAAATCATTACTCTGACCAGAAAGGCCTGCTGTGGTCTGACCCCTGTGTCTCCTCTGTCTCCATCGCTTCCATCACTTCCAATATCAGCCTGAATATTGTTCCCAATGCTTCCAAGTCACTAGGCATCTTGGCACTTAGGGGTTTGCCAGTGTCATTTGTCGAGATGACTTTGGCTGCAGGTAACTATGGTTGGTTCTTTCTCTCTCAGAACTTTATTCTGATATCACTTTTTTTTTTTGAGTTGTTCTTGGACCATTCAAATGTCCTTATGCCCTGACTTAGCGCTGCTTTGCTTTTTCTCCATTTCCATTCATCATCCTTGGATATATTATGTGTTTCGTGTGTTGATCTTGTTTATTTGCTTTTTTTAGCCTCACAAAGGAAGTGGCTTGAAGCCGAGGATTTTTGCCTGTGTATTGCTGTATTTCCACTGTCATTGAATAAAAGCTGTTCGGTGAACAAAGATTGAGAGCTTCCAAACTGATAGGGTGGTTGCAGATCTGTCCACAAGGTGGCACTCACAGATTAATTATCTTTATTTAGCTTCCATCTTTATTTTTTAACAGAACCAGACCAATCTCTCCACCACCCAAACCTTAATCTGTTGTTGCAAGGCAAATAAGAGGGGTGACTTAGGTTCCGCCATGAAGAACTTGCTCTGTGTTTTATTGTGTTTCAGAGAAACACAATGAATTTTTCCCCTCGGTTGGGAAATAGAGTAATTGGGCAAGTTTGTGGGTTTCAGTGAGGAATTTACAGCCTGTGCTTCTGTGGAGAGGCTCAGCCATTCTTAAAAAAATTAACAGGAAAAGGTTTAAATTATCTTCAAAAAGTTGTACAAATGTGTTTCAATGGAACGTGCAGACTTATGTGTACAATGCATCTCCATCAAGCCTCAAACCTCCCAGTTCCATGATCATATCTGTACAAGGGAGTATTATGGCTGTCCTCACCCACCACTCCTCTCCCCATTCTCCCTTAACCCCTACAAGCAAAACACATTTTAGCCTTCTCATATTCATTTTGTGAAATGATCAGCCAGTTGTTCCAAGGAGGTACAGTATGGGAATGCACCCCTGAATAAACCATACTTGAATCAGTTTGATCATATACATACACATACGTGTAGCCCACTGTATGTTTTTATGTTTATATTTCAGTTCTAACTCCACATAGGAGAATAAATATGTTCACCTTGTCTCTCTGAGCTCAACTTACTTCACTTCACATAATTACAGATCTACCCCTTCCTTGTAAAGATTATTCTTTCTGATGGATAAATAAAACTTTCAGTGTGCATAGAATACCATATTTTCTGGACCTGCTGATTAGTTGTAGGACATTTGGGCTGTTGTATAACAGCCTATGTCCTGATTTGTAATCATTTGAATAAATGCCTATAGGAGGTACTGCTAGATACAGGATAGTTCTTTTTTTTTTTTTTTTTGGTTGGTTGTGGGTCTTGAACTCTGGGCCTGGATGTCCCTGGGCTCTTCAGCTCATGACAAGTGCTCTACCCTTGAGCCACAGCACCACTTTCAGTCTTCTGGTGGTTAAATTGGAAGATAAGAGTCTCACAGACTTTCCTGCCCTGGTTGGCTTTGAACCATGATCCTCAGATCTCAGCCTCCTGAGTAGCTAGGATTACAGGTGTGAGCCACTGGTGCCTGGCTGGATAGTTCTTTTTTTTAAATAAGTTTTTTATTGTGAAAATACTGTACAGAGGGGTTACAGTTACACGAGCAAGGTAATGAGTCCATTTCTTATCAAGCATTGTTGCCTCTGCCTTTGTTTTCCCCGTACCATCCCTTCCCTCCCATAGTTCTTATATTTTGTTTTTAAGAGGAATCTCCATACTGACTTCCATCATGAATGTACATTTTCACCAACAGGAACTGTTAATTAGAGGCAGAGGAAACATATTTACTACAGCAGTAGCAGCAAACTTCTCAAACCTTGAAAAAGGAAAGCCTAATCAGATACAAAGTCACCTGGAACATCCAACAAAACAAAACTCCAGATCAGAAAAAGCTCTCTTTGACAGACTACACTTAAAAAAGACATACAGAAACCAAGGAAAGATGATTGGAAGCTATATGGGAAGAAGGATGTACCGTGTGCAAAAGAAGGTGCAA